CGCCTACCATCTTTGGGTCTCCATTCTGTTGTAAGTTTAGTCAATCTTCCATCTCTTCTTCCAGTGACAAGGGCTATTCATTTTTTTTCTCTCTCTCAAACAACTTCAGTCTTGCAGAGTGCTTTTCTCTTGGTTCACTCAACCATTAGCTTTCTCTCCCCCAATAAGATTGCAAGCATACCTCTATGCTTTGCAGTCTAGCTTGACTTTCGCCAGTGCCTCGGAACATCCATCTTTCCACTCCATATCCTGCCAACATAACGGCACCTGCCTTTTGATGAGTACTGATCCACATTCATGATAATGTTTAAGTCTGGTTAATTGTTAAAGTGAGTATGTGTTCTCTTACCTTTCAGCTTACTGAATTCATTTAGTTGACTGATGTCAACAAATGTTGCATACCTTCCGAGTTCTTTTCCGTCTATTACTTTATTATTTTTAACGTTTCTGAGCATGACTTTAGTCTCTCGCCGTGCTCTGGGGTTACTTTACTTACTCTATCCTCAATCTAAATCCTTCATGGTGTAGGGTGTTTCATCTAAGCTATTATTTTATTCCCTGAGGTGGCTCAGGTACTTGGTTTAATCTTGATACGATCTTTTCTGCCTATTCAGTTTCTAAAGATCTTTTCCAAATAGGAAATGAAGATTTTCTCCATGTGTATTGATGTAGGCTTCCCACAAATTTATGATTTCTCTTTTATAGCCTAATGATATCTGCAAACTATTAAAAATGCATTTTTCTTATAATCTTGCTAATTATCTTAAATATTGAGGCTGATGATGGCATTCTAGTAATTCTCATAATTGAGATACACGACAGAATTAAGCAACTACAGCTCTTGTCTTTCTGATGTTTTAGACTATTAAAGGCAATGACTGTGGTTTGGTAGAGCCTCCCTAGAAATGCGATATCTAAAAGGTTTGGTGTGTGCCATACATTTGTAAGAAACTTGACGTTTCTATAAATCATTGTGGCTTTTGAAGCCAGAGGAGGAAGACTGATTATACGTACATTTAATGCTTAAGAACAATTAAAAGTCAATGCCAAGCATTCTTTCCTTCCCCTTATTTACCCTTCTAGTGCAGTACTCAAACTATGAAGTGGAATCTTTCCTTAAATATTTGCTTCCTCCAAATATCAGTATAGTCATCAGATACCTTTTCATTTGTGCCAAGTATCAACAAACTGGTGTCTCTCTTTCTCTCTATTTCATTGTCCTCATTGGGTCATGGCATTCTTCATTTTTAATCATTCATCCATTTGATATTTGTTGCTTCTCTACTGTGCCATATACTGTTTGGCACAATGAGAGATACAAAGTGAATTAGATGACCAGGGTAGACTCCTAAAGGTGTAAATTCTGACATGAGCACAATTGATCCAATTCTAATACGAATTATTTCTTTTCTACTTAAAAATGTTCCAAATATAAATGAACATATAAAATTTGTCATTTCCTCTTTTATATGCTTTCATATAATGTTGATCTTAGCTCCATATTAATTCCATTGCCTTGTGGCTTTAAATATTTTTATAGTATAGTAGTTAAGAACATGGATTCTAGACGTACACTGCCTGGGTTTGAATCCAGATTCCATCACTTACTAGCTGCATGACCTAGAGCATGTTTCATAATGCTTACAGAAGAGTTTTCTTGAGAGTAAGATGGGTATAATCATATTATATACCTTATTGGGTTTATATATAGGTTGAGTATCTCTTATCCAAAATACTTGGGATGAAAAGTGTTTTGGAATTTGGTTGGATTATTTATATTGTATTTACCTGGTTGAGTATCTCAAGCCAGAAAAATTGAAATCCATAATGCTGCAATCAGCATTTCCTTTGAATATCCTGTTAGTACTCAGAAAGTTTGGGATTTTAGAGCATTTCAGATTTCAGATTTTTGGATCTGGATGCTCAACCAGTATGATGATTAATTATTTGATACATATAAAACATTTAGAACAGTGCCTGGTATATATATATTAAGTGCTATATAATTATACATTAAATTTAATGTATATTTTAATGTGAAGTTTATATTTAGTATTTGACTAATTTATATCAAATTAATTGTTTTTAGCACTTTTTAACTCTTTGAGTTAAACTTTGTGTTTAACTCATTCCGTAAGTTAAAATTCTATGAGTTTAATTCCTTGGGTTAACTAAGAAGTGTTGCATTCTAAATTATATATATATATGTGTGTGTGTGTGTGTGTGTGTGTGTGTGTATAATATCTCCCTAATTTATTATATATTAAAAATATATATATATACACACATGTATATACATATCTCCCTATGTTCAGGAGGGATATATGTATATAAATTAGGGAGATTTATATTACATATTTTCTTCATATATATGTATATGAAGGAAAATATTACAAATTAAGTAATTACAGATTTTTAGACTCTGAGACTAATTGAAGCTGACCAAAGAAAAAACTTATCACAGGTACTGAGGTTTTGTGGAAGGCTTAGAAGTTTTGAGCTTTGCTTATCTTTTATAATAGTTTGAAGGCTTTTCATACTCTCTTTAGAGTTTTGTATTTTTAGCATACACTTTTAGATTAAAGGTAAAATGATGCACAATTTTGAGTCACTACATTTGGTAATTGCTTACATTTGTGATAATGTAGTATTATTGGAGTATACATAAGGCTTATATAACACTTAACAGTTTGCTAAGTACATTCATGCAGCTCATTTAAACCTCAAGATTGATAAGAAAGAGGCTTACAGGGATTGGGTCCATATTCAGTTCTGTGACTCCAGTTGTATGACTTTTACCTCTAGCATGATTGTATTTACTGGCACAATATGAAAAATGGAAGTTATTCGATGTGTAATTTTTAAGAAGAGATGGTGCTAAGGTAACTAATAGTTTATAAAAGCATAGAGTTCAAAACATTTAGAATTACTTCATATCCTATTGGAAAGTTGTCTTAAAATGAGTAAAACAAGACTCTTTCCTAGTTGAATAAATAATTCATTATAGCCTTTTTGTTATAGAATTGAAATTATAGTTTGTATAATTACCTAGGTTTAGCCTTGAAAAATTTGATTCTAATCTAAAATGGAGATATTAGACTGAGTGGCCACTAAACTTTTTTTATTCCCTGTCCAGGAAAGTAAGGGAAACTCTTTATCACTCTGTCTTCACATATTTGAAGAAATATGTTCAGGAGAGATTAGATTTTTTTCTAAGATGCTGGAAAATACAAGGAGACATATCTTAGCCTCAGTATGAGGGAAAATTCAAACAAAACTCTCTAACAATGGAATGGACTGCCTCAAAACCTAGTGGAGGAGCCTCTGGCATTAGATGGGTTACCACAAGATGAGGCTGTGGTAGAGAAAAGTCCAGTATTGGAGGAACAGTAAAACTAGATAACCCTGATTGCTACCACCTGTGGCATTCTGTAGTTCTAGAGTGAAGTTAGAAAGAGCTGGCTTGCTACATCAGTTTATGTTGAATTTCTTCCACTCATCATTTGAGGGCAATGATCTCTGAAGAATAATGTGAGATTAGGTGAGACACTGTATATATAAATGTTTTAGAAACATTCTGTAAATCCAAGACAGTAATGTTTATTCTGTACCTTTCAATATCTGCATCACAAAACTTCATATTACAACTGCTTGAAAATATACAGTTACTTGATAAAAAGAATGTAATTTTTTTAGTTAAGATACTATCTGTTACTGAAAGGATATTAAGTAATCTGAGAAATAATTTTATTTATGCCTCTGGAAAACTTTTTCTTTAAAATTTGTGTTCTACTTGCATTTTCAACAGTTATTGTATTTCATTTCCAACCATTTAGATTTGATGTATAGCTAACACTTACTAATATTAGCTGGCTAGTTACTATATATCATAGAAAGTACCAGTTAATCAGTGTATTGACTTTGCACATGTTATCTGAATGTCTTAGAAATGTAGATACTGCTCATACAAATTGATTGGTATGCTAAAGAAACGTATATGTAGTTTTAATTTCAAATTATTTATTAACTGTCAAAGCAAGAGAAAAATCATAGGCTACTGTGAATTGTACTTTAATTTGTTCTTATCTTTTTTCCCTTTTAATCATCTAGGCTATTTTCCTGCATATATTCATTTTGAAACTTTTAAAATTCCGTTAGTTAAAATGCTTATTTTACTCAAAGACTGTTTGCACTGCACTGTTCATAACATAAGATTAACAAGTTCAGGTCGTTAAGGGAACAGCTTTTTTGATGTCTTAAAATTTAACTGGAAAAGAGTTTCTTTAAGATGTTGTGGGCTGGGCGCGGTGGCTCACGCCTATAATACCAGCACTTTGGGAGGCCGAGGCAGGTGGATCACAAGGTAAAGAGATCGAGACCATCCTGGTCAACATGGTGAAACCCCGTCTCTACTAAAAATACAAAAATTAGCTGGGCATGGTGGCACTCGCCTGTAGTCCCAGCTACTCGGGAGGCTGAGGCAGGAGAATTGCTTGAACCCAGGAGGCGGAGGTTGCGGTGAGCTGAGATTGTGCCATTGCACTCCAGCCTGGGTAACGAGCAAAACTCCGTCTCAAAAAAAAAAAAAAAAAAGATGTTATGCATAAAAAATTTTAACTTTCTTATTTCAAATTTTAAAAATCATACAAATCAGTTTATGTATTCATTTCATTCAATAAGTATGTATTTTGCATATTCTATATATCAGGCATTGTGCTGAGTGCTGAGGCTTCTAAGGTGAACACAATTTTTGGTTTTTAGATAGCAGAGGTTAAGAAAGTTGTGCTTTTAGTGACTGTTTCTTTGCTCATGAATGAGCACATTGTCACAGACATAGGGGTGGTCACTCTTTGTCCATTATATCACACATTAAGCCTTGCATTATATTGGATAAATGTTCTTTTATATCATTTGATGTTATTTGTATGTGTTTATGTATACATGACTGATTTGTTTGACTACTAATGTATATAATACATATTTTTTCCCTCCTATTCCAGGCACCAAGTATAGATGAAAAAGTAGACCTTCATTTTATTGCGTTAGTTCATGTAGATGGGCATCTCTATGAATTAGGTAAGAACTACTTTAATTTGTCCTGGGGAGAGAAATGGTAAATGGGAAAGTCTCTACTCACAATAAACAGGACTATTGATAGTTATTGTGTTTACTTAAATTAACTGATTGCCCTATAAAATTGATTCAACATAATGACAGTTTTCCTTTTAAGACAGTTTACTAGAAAAATGTTATTTTATGTTTAAGCAACTTATAATTCAAAAATTTTTGCATACCATATTCTCATTTTAGCAAAGCAAGAAAGTAAAAACAATTACAGGAAACCTCTGCAAATCACTCTGGCATTTGTTACGAAATTATTGACTACATTATCAATATCTGGCTGAACCACTGTTAGTTTTAAAAGCTAGTGTGATAGTCATAATGACTAGGCTTTGTATTCAATAATGAGTGTCACTAGTTTTCCAGGTTTTGTACTATCCCTGTGATTTTTTAAGACTTTACAGGAGCCTTTGTTTTCTGGCAGTGGTTTCTACAGGCATATGTCAGAGTACCCATGATTAGTTACTTTGTATTTTGGCTTATACCTGCACTTTTTTTTTAAGTTTTACTTTTCAGTGGATGATTTCATCACATGTTTAAGGAGATCACATAATTTTAAGATAATTTGCTCAGAATAAACTTCTAATTTTTTCATAATTGGTATACAATATTTATTATGAATCTTATTCTTTTCCATAAGGCCTTCTTGAGCTTTAAAAAAAAGCCTAATAACAAAAAAGAAGTTCTTTTCAGTAATTCTAGATACTGTGATTTTTGGTTCTATTACCTCTCATTTGCTCTCTATATATTACCTTGTCACATTCATTTTTCTTAAGTTGTATAAAGGTAGAAGAGTTCTGAAAGAACACAGATTGTGACTCTAAATGTGATCCATAAAATTAGGTGGATTTTGTGTTCGGAATATTAGCAACAGGTCACATACTTTATTAAAAAGAAATGGCCCTATCAAAGGGGACAAGGAAAAGAAAGAACATAGTATTTATAAAAATGTGCAACCCTGAGGGCTGTCTACAATAGTAGAGTGATTTGAGGAGTAATAAAACTTAAATGAAAAGAAGTCATTGTTCTGGTAGTATATAAGGGACCTGCAGGACAGTTTGGAAGGTACGCCTAGCTAATTCAGTTTATAAAATCTGCAGAGATAAAAGTATAACATTGATTGGGGACTTCAGATGTCTGAGTGGTTGCTGGAAGCAGATTTTCTGCTCTGAATTGTGGCTAGTAATTAATAGCTAGTGGAAGAGGAAGTAAGGAGAGTGCTGGGACTTAACAGATATATTCTGTTGACTTCAAGAAAGTAGATTTGGCCAGAACAAAGATATGTATAATTCCTAACCAGAGACTATAAATATGATTGTGACTTTCAGAATGAGAGACTTATAGAGCAAACAACATCTAAAAGATAGACCAAAAGAAAACCTCTCTAATGATCTCAATGGGAAGGAAAGAGTTGTCTTAAAAACAACAACAACAACAACAACTCGGTTTTACTGGTTAGATAGCCCTCTTGGCCCAGTGGCTAAACGGGCATTAGAAGGAAGGACATATTATCAAGGGTAAGCAACATACGAAGAATGATGCCCTTTTGGAGCATGCCAAGATCAACACAAAAAGGATTTAAAAATTTTTTTAAAATAAGAACTTCATAAAGAAAGGCAGAACTACTGAGGTCTTGTTTGGTTTAGATATTCTTTATCAAGAAGAATGATCTGATGGAGAATTAGAAGCCTGTTGGAATTAGATTTTTTAAATGAGTTTAAAGAATTTCAGAGTGGTAAAGAATAGTAATAATCTTTGAGATGACAGAGCAATGGTAGGTACAATACAAAGATGGTTAGTTGCTGATTCATTGCTAAGGAAACTTGTAGTAACTCTGGTCTGGATCTAATAAATTCAAAAGGACTGTTGAGCGAGGAGTATTGAGTTAGTGAGTAGAAAATGCTGATTAAGAGAACAGCACTGGGCACAGTGGCATGTTCCTGTAGCCCCTGCTATGTGGGAAGCTGAGGCAGTAGGATTGCTTGAGCCCAGTAGTTTGAGGGTATAGAGTGCTATGACTGCACCTGTGAGCAGCCACTACACTTCTGCCTGAGTGACATGGCAAGACTTCATCTCTTAAAAAAAAAAAAGAGAAAAGAAGACACTATATAACTTTTAAGAAAGAAGTCATTTCAAAGTACAGTTGGCTCTCTGTGGGTTCTTGCATTGGTAGATTCAACCAACTATGGATTTAAAATATTAGAAAATAAATACCAATACAACAATAAAAAACAAATTTTAAAAACAATGTAACAAATATTAGCACAGCATTTATACTGTATTATGTATGATAAGTCATCTAGAGATGATTTAAATATTTCAAATTGTGTAGGTTATGTGCAAATACCACACCATTTAGGCAGAGTATGTCAAGGGGCTTGATCATCTCAAAATTTTGGTATGAGACGGGGCCAGTGTCCTGGAGTCAGTCCCTGTCAGATACTGAGAGATGACTGTAACTTTATTTTTACAATAAGGCAATATAATTGTAGACATGGTGCAAGTTAATTTCTATAGGATAACTATATTTAACAGAGAATGGTGGTAGTTTTTAATGTATTCATTCCCTATTCTAATAAATTGTAAGGTTAACCAATGAAACGGATGGAGTTATTTCTCTTTTGTTATCACCCCCTCCTTTTCCTTGGGGCCTCATGTAGCTTCTGGCATATGTAAAGTGGAAGAAGTACGTATTTTAAAATAGATGTAATTACTCCTTGCAGATAGAGTAGAGCATTGAGATTTAGAGGTGAATTTGGAACTGATTGAACAGGCAGGTTAAAAAACCATTAACTAATAAATTATTGTCTACCTGAAGTAACAGAATACTGTGAAGCGGTTTTAGAAATTTTATTTTGAAATAATTTTAAATTTTCATAGAAGTTACAGAAATAGTATACAGTTTCCATACTTCCTTCCACAGATTACCTAGGTTCCATTCATATTTCTGAACCATTTGAAAAAAGTTGAAGACATAATGACCCATTATCTTTAAAACTTCTGTATTTTCTCAAAACAAGTGGATACTGTCCTATGTAACTATAGTATGAATATTAAAATCAAGAAATTATTATAACATTGATCCAGTATTAGCATAATTGACAAACCCCATTACAATTTTGGTGATTATCACAATAATGTCCTCTATTCAGGATTACGTGTTGAATTTAATTGTCATCTTTCTTTGTCTCCTTTAATCTGGAACAATTCCTTGAAATTCTTTCTTGTCTTTCATGGCTGTGACATTTATTTTAAAGAGTACAGGGTGGGCAAAAACTGGAAGAAACCTTAGAAAACTGCCACAAGACAAGGATGTCCTCTCTCACCACTCCTATTCAACATAGTATTGAAGTTCTGACCAGGTCAGTCAGGCAAGAAAAAGAATTAAAGTGTATTCAGTTAGGGAAAGAGGAAGTCAAATTGTCTGTATTTGCAGATTACATGATTGTATATTTAGACAACCCCATCATCTCGGCCCAAAATCTCCTTAAGATGATAAGTAACTTCAGCAAATTCTCAGGATACAAAATTCATGTGCAAAAATCACAAGCATTCCTATACACCGATAACAAACGGAGAGCCAAATTATGAGTGAACTCCCATTCACAATTGTACAAAGAGAATAAAATACCTAGGAATACAACTAACAAAGGACATGAAGGATCTCTTCAAGGAGAACTACAAACCACTGCTCAAAGAAATAAGAGAGGGGACTTGGATCCAAGATGGCCGTTTAGGAACAGCTCAGGATTGCAGCTCCCAGTGAAAGCGCAGAGGGTGAGTGGACGCTGCATTTTTATTGCCCACAGGCTAGGAAATTCCCAGGCGGAGGAGCTCCACAGGTCACCAGTGCAGCTGTTTCGGCCAGCGTGGCTGTGGCCGGCGTCACTGCTTTGCCCCGCGCGGCTGCTTTATCGGTGCCCCGGAGCAGCGGTTCTCCGTACAAAATACACCGGTCTGGGTGCCCTTTTGGCTGGCGATTGGAGCCACGGGAAGTCGCCCATTCGTGTGTTTAAAAAGGGAACTGAGCAG